TCCAAATTTTATGAACTTTGAAATATCAAACTTCTACATTCGATGCCGAAACCCGTCAAATCACGTCCGATTGACCTCAAATTTTACACACAAGTCATACGAACCTACTGGAACCTTCAGATCCCGATTCCGAGGTCGTTTAGTCTGAAATCCAATCTTAGTCAATTCTTTCAACTTGAAGCTTCCGAATTGAGAATTCCCTTTCCAAATCAACTCCGAATTCCCCGGAATTCAATTCCGACCATGCGTACAAGTCATAATACCTGAAGTGAAGTTGCTCATGGCCCCAAACTACTGAGCGACGCGCTAAAGCTCAAAACGACCGGTCGGGTCGTTACATTCTCTCCCACTTAAACATACGTTCGTCCTCGAACGTGCTAAGAAATGTGTTGGGGTTGTCCGAAATCACTGTTTTAACACCTCGAGCACCTACCCGTGCTACCACAACTCAGCTGGGCACCCTAGCTCGATCAATCTGAAGATATCCTTTCTCACTTAAGCAAATAAGCCTTAGAGCCCAATTCCTACATCCGGAATTCTCTGCCAGGCCTGTTCCAACATACGCTCACCGTCAACAACCACCCCCAGCACCAAAACATGACTGCATACCTTAGCTGAATTCACACCTTGCACCACTTTTCTCACAGGACCACAATAACATTCTCTGATCAAATTAGTTGAAATTCCACGAATCTGCTGCTCCCATTGCACCTCATGACCTACATATGTCTTGCTCTAACTCTTACAATACCGCCAAGACGGAAGAGGTGTGTAGAAATTCATATCCAACTGCCGAATCAACAATTCTGACAAGAACCATCACCTCATTCTGAACCAAATAATGATCTTAGCTCCTTAATATACTTCATATAATCAGATTGCACTGATCCTAAATCCAATGATCTCGTCTCACCCAGTACGAACCGCTCAGGCAATAAGCCACCCCGGACATGATCAAAAGTCTCATATGATGCCACAATGTGCCAATAGGCTATGAACTCGAACGTGACAAAAGGAAAACTAATTCTGGAAGGAACTACTCAACTCACGCACTAATATGGACTTTCCTTAGAAAATAGGAAGCAAGGCATACAAAAATAGCATATAGAAAACTGTATTCAACATCACACTGTTGCGGCGTGCGACCCGATCCAAATAACATACCCATGGAGGCGTGCCATCCAATCCACACATAGAATTCACATAAGGAGATATACATCGAGCTAAATTGCTCATTACGATAAAATATCGAATATCGGTCACAAGCACGCTAAGTGCATAATACCATCCCTAGGGAGACATATAGTGCCATAGGCTACAAAACTCAAGCACAACTGAGGTGCGATATACGATCTGAATCTCGAGAGCCATCCTGCTCATATAGCATCATCGCTACGAGGAACTTCAACATATAAGAAATTTACCAAGCCGTTTCGCAACTCACACGGCACAATATAGCATTACATGAAGTAGCCGAGAACGAATTACAATCCAATGCCCGAATACTCCTCCATAAGGAGAGCTATGCTGAAACGAACACATTCGGCCCGATATAGAGCCCATATTCATATTTAAATCCATCCATAGACCTCAAGCCGATTGTGATCATATCGAACTAGGCCAATAATCTTTTCTGGGTCCATAATAACCCCTTTTCCCCATAACACACAAGAACAACCATCATAACCGAAGTAATCCTCCACGGTCCATAACCTAATAAGCTGAGTGCCCTCCAGGCATAAATCCTCAAACCATATCGCCACAATCTTAATACTTGGTTTCATCCTCCAATCAATCAAGTGACTACATGCCACACTTATACAATCTTCCCGTGGGACACGCTCCCACGATCTTCAGTAACAGATAACAAGCCTACACATCCAGGCTACAGGCTGCACTAATGCTGAAAAGCGATCAAGAATCCACAACCAGGATGCAAAGGCTCTCTCACAAAACACCGATCCCAGGTGACGCTGAAGACAATGCCAGCTTACTCTAATTATTCAAAAACCCCTTTCCTGCTCATCCGAGCTCGTGACATCCTTGTCAACACCAAACCGCAACCTTGATCCTCACTTCCAATTCCATACCACCTACTATGCCCAACATGCCAATCTCTAAGTAGTGGTCTAAGCTACCAATCATTTGCATAATTTGCTGGAGGAACTGATTACTACCACCAATAAGCCAATTCAACTATGGATAACCAGTCTATCTTCTTCCAATTTATCCTTGATTGCCTTAGAAATAATAATAACTCCATTCAACACATAACACACTTCATCCGCACTCATCCCGGATGACCGTGAATCTCGAGACCATGCTGTCTCAAACCCCACGAACCATTTCATACCTCCCAATTGCTACACTGTAGGTCAAAACATCATAGAACATTCTGGGCACCTTCTCATAAGCTTCTACAAATCTTGATTCTCAACTGTACCTATAGGCTCGAAATCATTAGGCACCACACTTTATCCCCTTGAATCCACTAGGACCGTTATTGAGAGCCATCCGCTCTGACTTGGCCCCAAATATAATCAACTCCATGAATCTTCTAGCACATGAATACCCTCTCGACGAAGCACCCGGCCGAATCATTTTCCTTGAAACCCGCACTTATACAGGGCATAAATCTTGATTCTTTCCCCAAGTATGAGCATGAGCCAATAAGGCCAACCATAGCACACCTTTAACAATTCTTTTGCTCAGATTACCACTTATGTTCTTTTCCCATAGCTGAATTAACCCATCAATATGCTAATACCCAGAAACCTCGCAAGTAGTTAACCATGCAACCAAATCATAGGAGTGGGGCTCTCCA